TAATCCTTATATTGTCTGATATGAGAAACTATGTCGATGAAGAATAAAATAAATCAGTTAAAAAATTTTCTTTTCTTTTTTATTTAATGAACAAAAGCTTTGGCAACAAGACTTGAACTGGAAGAAATGGTTGCCGGTCGAGGATATTGTGGAGTACGAAATGGTAGACCATAAAGAGCAAATGCAGTTCGTGCTCGACCACCATCATTTCGACGTCGTACAAATGGATATGATATAGATTGAGGAGAAGAATTATAAAACGTTCGCGGTGTTTTTATAGCTCGTCGTTGAATATGTGTTGGTGGTCGTCGTATTGTTCTATGTAAGAAATGATGTTCTTGTTTTAATTTACGTTTTCGATCATATTCATCGAACAGATGGCGATAACTTCGCGATGATAATGGTGTATTCATTAATTGTTTATATGCAGCAAATGTTTTCTTTTTTTCATGTTGTTTTGCTATATTATATACACGATAAGAATGAAATGTAATCATACAAATATTTTTTAACATATAAAATATTATTGATGGTTTACTACAACGAACTTTAACAGCTAATAATGTACGATAAAGTAGAAGAAGACCATCATTAATGAATAAAGACTATCAATGAAGAAAAAAAAGTGATCAGATAATGTTTGTTTTTTTAGCATAGAAAAATTTACTCGAAAAAAAGGACGTAAATTTTGATCTTGAAGAAAATGTATTTGTCCTGTTAATTTTCTTGTACGATAATGTGAAAAATTTTCATTTGATATCAATGTTAATCCATCCGTATCAATAAATGCCATTTGAAATAAACCAATTGTTAAAAGAACAAGACCAATATACATCCAAATTCGTTCAATAATAACATCATGATATTGTAATGATTGTGAAATAGATAATAGATCAGCAGCATTTATTAATGTAACAATTAAAACAATACCACTTTTTTCTATTGTCATATGTTGACGACTTATAAGTAAACGACTTATAGATAAAATAACAAGTAAAGTTTCTTGTATTGCATCAAGCCAACGTTGTTCTTCCATATAGTACCAAGCCTAAATCGATGTATTGGAAAAAAAGACAGATTAATTTTAAGAATTTAATTTACTTTATCATGACATTCAATATGTCCAATGGAAAGAATAAGTGGTGTAGTTGTTGGTAATACACGATGTAAATTTGGTGAAACAACATGTAGATATGATGTACTATTTGAAAGACGATGTTGTTGTCGAATATTAGTTGATGATACAGCTGCTGTTCGAGCATTAAGTTTATTTTCTGCAAGACGATATAATTTTCTATTAGCGGTGTCAACATGAATAATCCAAAGTGATGGTGTTGTACATGTCAAATAGAATATGATACAAAAGGCAACTCTAATAAAGAATAATGAAAAACAAATTAACGATTTATTTATTTATTTTTCTTACGTTTTAAATTCACGTCCATTTCGTAGCCAAAGAACAATGCCAGTTTCAATAAGTAAAAATCCTAAACCAACTAATATAACCCAACAATATTGATTATCATTTATATCAACAACACGCCAAGTACAAATTAATCCGTGTACTACAAGAAACACTCGCACTAGAAGAGACTTGGCGATAGTCAGACCGTGCATTCATCCGGCCATTTATCTTATTTATTTTCTAACAAAAATTTCTATTTTATGTTAATGAAAATAAAAAGTGAAACAAGTAAGTATGAAAAAGCTTAGTCAACAAATAATTAATACCGACTAAGCCTTTTTTTTCTCATTTTCCGTTGTAGGTTTGAATAATTCGTTCAATAGTATGTACTATATATTTAATCGTCAAATGAAAGTATGTCTTTCGATCAACATTTATTAAATCAAACAAAAATGCTTGTCACATTACTACAGTAAACATACGACAACAAAAATGTATGTGAATGTGACAATAAGACAAAAGTAAATAATTCATATACTTTACATTTATATTTATCTGAAGCATGTGTATATTAATGCATATAATTATTTTTTACTGTATTCATAAACAAAAAAATAACGCTTGTTTTATTTTTTTTTTTATTAATAATTATTATTATATTTATGTTTTTATGTACCTTTTTTTTGTTTATGACAACAAACATAATGATATAAAGAGAAAAAAAAGAAATCGAATCGATAACATAGATTACAAAATATAAAAGAAGAAACTTTTTCTTCTTCATTTCGAAATTAAAACAACATTCATGTTAATTAAAGTTTAACAACTTGTTGTTTCATTGGATTTAATTCAACCATTCGAAAAGATATATTAGATTTTTGTGATACTCGTTTGGAATTCGGTTCCGATTCGAAGACATTATCACTTTCATATGTATCATTCGTCATACCAGATTCGGAACATAGATCATCGATATCTGTATCAGGATCCATTTGAATAAGAACTTTTAAATAACGTTCAACTTGTTTTGCTTTAAATTGTGTTGCTAAATCAAGTGGAGTTGAATGATTCATATCATAAACATATGGATCAGCACCATGTTGTATTAAATAATGAACAAGTTCATAATCATCAGCTGGACCACATGCGACATGTAATGGTGTCCAACCATTTTTATCTTGTACTTTTAAACTAGCATTTTTACCTAAAAGATATTTTACAATTGATATATCACCATTATCACATGCTATATGTAATAATGAACGATTATCACCATCAACTATATGTATATTAGCACCTTTATTTACTAATAATTCTAAAAGATCTATAAAGATAAAAATTTGAAATTAAATTAGATTTTTTCAATATATAAATAAATAAATTCAAACCTCGTCTTCTCGATTTAACAGCAGCATGAACTAATGTCCAACCAGATTTATCTTTTCTATTCACATCTGCATGTTTACTAATTAACATAGTCATTTTTTTTAAACAATCATTACCACTACCAACAACGAACATCATTGGTGTTGCTCCAGTTTTATCTTCAACATCAGGTTCATTAACATAAGTAAGTAACATTTCCAATATTTCAGTATTTTCTGCCCAAGCAGCAAAATGTAATGGTGTTCGTTTCATTGAATCCACTGGTTGTCGAAGATAGTCTTCAACATCTTTATGATTTAATTGTGGAAGTAATATTTTTAATTCATCAATATTATTGTTATCAATTGCTTTGACTATTTTACTACATTTAGCAATATCACGTACAGAGCCATGTATTAAACCATGATATACGTCCGAGACGAGATCACGTGCTCGTTTGAACAACATCCAATTTAAGATTTTCTTATTCACTAAATATACATATACACATATAAAAAAAACAAAAAATACAGAAAATGGTAATGAATAACGAAATGTTATGCTTCAATGATTTTCCAATATCGACATAGTCAAATAAATAGACATACGACGAAAAAAAAAAGTGAAAAAATCATACACATACGTCAGTATCAGTCTCTTTCCTTTATTTTTTTTCCTATGTGTCGTCACTTGATGAAGGAGAACAATCTATCGTTAAATAATTTTCGGTAGAGAAATAAACACGCCAAGCATTGTTCTATTAGTCAGGAAATATGAAAAGTGTTGTTTATAAATCGAATAAACAAAACAACAGAAAATAATTCTATCTTATAAATTCATTAGTCGATGTTTTTATTTTTTGGATGATTCATAAATATTTTATTTTTGACTCATAATATTTATTTTTCGAAAGAAAATTAAAGTGTGAACTAGAAAGTCTGACTTAATTTGTATAGCAAGTTTTTCTATTCGAAAAAACTTCTGAATTCATGTTGTTCCAGCTGGAATATTTTTATGATAAAAATTGAAAATTATCTTGGTCTTTTTTTTAATACGTTGACTGTCCGGTGCATCATATGTGATGCACGATACTTTTGACTAAAAAATCTTCGCATCACGTACGACGTGCTTGTAGCGTAGGATATCTTAAGCTAGAATTTGCTGGATGTTACAGGACATATCAGAGAAATATAAATAATATACTATAATATTAAAAATAATAAGAAAAAGGGCGTACAACAAATATTATTTTTTTCTTATGGGACAGTCAACGTGTTAATTGTTTTACTTCTTTTTTTGAAGTGTTTTATGTGCAAACAATTTGAGGTGCATTGCATCTTGATTTATTTCTGTCTTAATTCATTATGACGTAACGAAGATGAAGATCATCATATAGTTTTCAAAGCAATTATGCAGATAAATTGAAAGTTCCCATGGTTAATTTTTATTTTTTATGAGGTATTTTCTTTCATATAAATAAATTTTCAACTATATCGAAGACATAGATACGTGTGTTAAAAAATAATAAACATCAGAAGATAATGTGATATCAGTAAAACTGAATTTCATGATTTCAAAATGTTTTTGATACGAATCTCAATACTATACGATCAATATTTTAAGTTGAAAATTATATAGAAATTTCTTTTATTATCGAATCTATATTATAAAAAACGTTAATGTCGGTTATGAATATTCAAATTTGATAAATATGTCTTTATGAATAACAAATATAGGCATAACATATTTATCTTTTTTGTTTAGTACGCTTTTATTTAACGACTACTGCCTTCCGGTCTTTTAGTATACCATCAGTAGTACAAAGAAGATTGGGTTAACATTCTTATCTATTTCTCGAGTGACATATTCTTATTTTATTAAAAATCTACTGAAGACAAATTGTAAAAGTACAATAATGTGATTTACCTACCATTTGTTAATGAATAAATATAGACCAAGTTTTTCTGTGCTACAACATGCTTTTAACTATAAAGACAAACATACTTAATTATGTTGTTTTGTAAAGATAACATGAAGTTTTATTACTATATTCAATGTCAGGATTTCTCATATAAATTCATGGTAAGTAAGAATAATTTATTTTGTTCTTCACAATTTTATTTGATAGATCGATGCGAGAACAACATTCTTCATTAAATATTTTCTTTAATATCAGGTTTCATTTTTTTTTCTTAAAGACAAGCATTATAACAACATTAAAGGAGTAATAATGACCTTCGTTTTTTATTGCGTTTTAATACAGATTAGTTTTACAATAATTACAAGTCTTACATATTCATGTTCATTAAACTCAACATGTGGTTGTTCTTTAAATTCAGTTTCATTGACGAAAATTATTGGTGGAGAAGATGCAAGAGTTGATACTTGGAATTGGGCTGTATCTATACGTATACGAAATGCTCATACATGCGGTGGATCATTAATATCACCTGAATTAATTCTAACTGCTGCCCATTGCCTTTATTCAATAAGTAGAATATCAAGTCTTAGTGTAACAGCTGGTTCAATATACTTATCTCAAATAAAACAGCAACGATCTGTTTCTGAAATTGCTATACATCGAAATTATACTTCAGATACGTATGCTAATGATATAGCTGTAATACGTTTATCATCACCATTTGATATGAACGTTGGATCATTAGGTTTGATTTGTCTACCAAAAAATATAGCAGAATATCCACCAAAAAATTTAACAGTAGCTGCTATTGGTTGGGGTAAAGTAACAACGTCTATTGACGCTGTTTCAAATACATTAAAACAAGTGACATTAAAAACCATTGCCGATAATGATACTACTTGCTTACGAACGATTAAAAATAATCAGGTACAATTTTGTGCTAGTGCTCAAGATGGTGAAAAAGGTATTGATAATAAAATCATATTTACAATAAAATATGTTTTGTTATTTAGATACATGCCAAGGTGATAGTGGTGGTCCATTAATGTTATTTTCTAATGACAAATGGTATTTAGCTGGTATTACAAGTTATGGAATAGGTTGTGCATTACCTGGATACGCAGGAGTATATACTCGAGTATCAGTTTATGAAGCATGGATAAAGTGCTTCTTGGAAAATAATACAGTATGTATACGAGAAATGTCTATTATTAAAAGTTCAGTATCATCAATTATGATCTCATGCTGCATGAAAAAGTTTTTTATGTTTTTGTCTCTTATGATAATTCATCTCAATTTTTGATGGAAAATAAAATTAAAACATGAGTTGAAAAAACTCAAGTGATAATTCGAATTCAAGATGAAAGATTTTTTCCATGAAGTTCTTCATCAATTAAGATGGTAAGTAACAAATGCAAATAAGGTAATGTAATCTCTTATTTATTAGTTTATCTTTGAAAAATCTAAAGTAATTATCGACTGTTTGCTCAAGGAATATATCGAGAAAAATAAACTTAGAAGAAATAGAACTTCATTGAATCATCAAATATGTATTTCGTTTAATGATATATAATTAAATAATTTGAAAACATGTCAAGTGTTCAAGTTATTAGCTGAAAAGTAACCGCTTTGATATTACATAAACTTTTATGTCATAAGTTAAGAACAAAAAGTTAGTTACTAGTGAGAAAATTCAAGTTTATTTTGTTTACCACAGCTTCTCGGATAAAATGTTTCATCTCAAAAAGGTGTGATGTTGATGTAGCACTATTCTATTCATTCCTCACTTACATCTTCAATATTCTAATTATCCAACAGTTTGTCTTAAGGAGATATGTCCTAGTATCATACATTACACCATCAATTCAGTCACATATGATTATCTTCTCTGAAATCTTCTTTCTTTATTTCATATATCGATTTTTATATGTCAACAAGCGAAACTAATTATCACACTACTTAATTTTATATACTCATTATTTAGTGAAGAAATGTCAAATAATAATAATAATAAACTATATTCTAATCTATATATAAAAGGTTGATAGTTTATATATTATATCTTCTTCGTTAATGGAATATAACTTATTTATCATAATTGACATATATTTTTTATTCTGAAAGAATATTTGTATATATAAAAATATATATGGATAATAGATTTACATACATTAACTATATAATAATTACACTTATTAGAATCTGAAAGACAATTTTGGTAATTAATCTTTAATGTTTACAAAAAAGATAATAAAAATAATTGAAATTAATATTGTATGAATCGTAATATGTAAATGATTTGCGTCATTCATTGTATCATTAATCCATACTTGAAAAGCTGCAACGCGTGTATAAATACCAGGTAAGTATGGTCTTGCACATCCAACACCATTGGAAGTTATTCCTACTACTTGCCAAACATTATCAGAAGTAAACATTAATAAAGGTCCTCCACTATCACCTTGACATGTATCTATAAATTCATAATACTAACAATCATATATTATATGAGATTTATGATAATTTACCTTTTCCACCAATCGGCATTGTTCCAGCACACATTTGTACAGATAAATCAGCGGGTTGAACATTTTTACAATAAATACTCTTTGCAGCAATGGCTTGAATAGTTACTTGTTGAAGTGTTTGTGATACTGAATCTCCTCCTTCTGTCAAATAACCCCAACCAATGGCAATTAGCTATAAATAAAAATACAAAAATTTATTAATTCTTGATCTTATTAAAAAAATATATGCTTACGATTGAATTTTATCAACAATAAAGCATCTAATAGAAAAGAATTTGATCAAAATTCTTTTCGGAAATCATAAAAAGAAACGCTCAAGAATAATTTATTACCGTTTTATATTATTACAGTTGACTATATGTAGTTTATGCTACTAGTTTGAAATGTTCTTCAGTTCTATATTATACTATCAATCTCTGCTGATAAGAGTGCTGCTCATCAAACTGATTATTTATGCAAATATTTGTTTTTACGTATAATTGATTATAAAAAAATATCATTGTCAGAAATTTGTGACTTAAAAAAATATATGTAGAATATTTTATAAAATTGGGTTATGTCAATAGTGAAACTTTTGCTCGATTCCTTCAGGTAATCATTTGTTGTTATAATGAAACTTATTCCAGATGATGTCTACAATTCTGGGAAGAACCTAAAACTATTTTACTAGTATAATAATATGACTTTTCTCTTCTTCTTTCTCTATTAGGTATTTAAATTAGTATGTTTCATAAGCATTATTTTATTACACTAGTATTAGGTGCTGGATATTCTTGACTTGCAAGTATAATCGATGATACATTCGGTAAACAAACAATAGCAACATTAGTTTGATCAATAGTTAATGGTGAAGATAATTTAAGTATAGAAATATCATTAATATAAGTAGTAGTAGAATAATTTGGATGTATATGTATATATGAAACACGACGTGTTTGAACAGTATCAGATAAGTATATTGATCCAACATAAACATTAACTGCAGAAGGAGATGATAATCCTATTGTACAATGAGCAGCAGTTAGGATATGTAATGGTGATATAATTGAACCACCGCAAAAATGTGAATTAGTTGATGAATAACGAAGTGATGCCATCCATCCCCATGTTTGACTTGCAGCATTTTCTCCACCAACAATTTTTGTTAATACAGCTGAATTACCGGAACATCCACATGTAGCATTGGAAGAACAAGTATACATCACTTGACTTAGTATAGGTTCAAAGATAAATTCTAATAAGAAAATCGTATGTACTTTTAGAAATATATTCATTATAAAAATGCACGAATGAATGGTAAACTGATTGTTAGAATGGAGTATAAAAAGGAAAGAAAACGAGGAAAAGGTTGTGAAAGAATAGGAAAAAGATCTATGTTGTTATGTCAACGCATTGCTTAATGTACTTTTTTCTTCTTCTTTAGTTTTCTGGCACCCGTAGTCATCTTTTTTATTTACTAAGAAGAGGAAAAAGACGCACATCAATAGAAAAAGTAAAACTTTTTTTACAGTATATATCAAAGATATTTTATATCTGAATAACATGAAAACATAATTAAATAACCTTTTTTTCTTTACTTTGTTGCTCTGTTATTTTTAACGCAGTTAAAAGTACATCATTAAAATTTAACAGAAGCATTCAACTGTTCATAACAAAAGTTCGTTGATGATTAAATATAGTAAACTTTCGTTCAATAACTATATTTATTTACAAATAAATAACATCATCTTGTGTAAAATCTTCTATAAGTGTTTGCTTAATGAGAAAATATAGAATTATTTTATCGATGTCAAAAAAATAAGAGTGCGTAGGTTGTTGAGGGAAGTTAGAAAATAATATTCAATTAGTCACGTTTATATGAATAAAATATCAAGAAAATGTTGAATTCTGTTAATCAAAGCATAATAATTTATTTTCTAGCAGAACTAGGCATATATTTAAGATCTTTTTTATTAAGAAAAATAAAACGTATGTTATTATTATTAGTAAGCTGATTTTACTATATTAACGGCTTCGATAATTTTGTTTCGGCAAAAACATACACAATTCTGTATTCTTTACCTTCCATGGCAAAAAAACATATGAACTAGCTAAAGTTCGGATAAGATCTTAGTTTCTGCTAAAACAAAAATATTATCCTCCTTTTTCTCAAATGATCGTTTACATGCCAGTCATATTTCAGGATCAATCATATCAATAGATTATAATATTTTGTTATTTGATTCTATTCTTCATGAGCTCTGATCGATTATAATGAATACTTTAATAAGACATAGATTATGTTATACAATAGATGGAGTATGATTCGTGCACAACATTAGATACGATTGGAGAACCGATTCACGGTTAAATATACATGGTTGTGGCATACAATCATTTTTTTCATTATTAAATAAAATAATATTTCATATTAGTATCAATGAGTTCTATTCGTATCTTAGCGTTTGGTGCATCGTTAACTGAAGGTTACCATTCATTGGGTTATGAATTTCATCCTTATACAATTCGTCTTTCTCAACTTCTTCGTTCATCATTTGAAACAGTTGATATCAATAACGCAGGTGTAAGCGGTGAAGCTATTTTAAGTGGAACAATGTTACCACGACTTAAACAATTATTATCATCTGCAAAAAATAAATATGATTGGGTACTTATTCTAGCTGGTACAAATGATACTGTACGCGATCAACAAAAAGCCTCGATTATCTTTGATACTTATAAATTATTAATTAATGAATGTCATAAACATGAAGCTCGAGTACTTGCCATGACTTTACCAGAAGCATTCTATCCAAGAAATTCTCCATTCGATGTAAAACGACAAGAATTCAATCGATTATTAAAAGAAGAATTAATATCAAACAACAATGATAATAATAGTAATAATATTGTAGTTCTTGATGTTGATAAACTTTTACCACAATATTCACTTTCAAAAAATGAACGTCAACAGATTTGGGATGATGAATTACATTTAACACCAAAAGGATATGATCAATTAGGACAATTGATCTTTGATGTACTAAAACCTTACCTAACATAGTTTAATGTTTAACTGGATTTTAAATATAATCATTTATCTTTTGATAGAAAAATTAGCTTTTATTTATTTTTTGTTTTACTTGTAACGAAAAAATGGTGATGCTGATTTAACTCAAATCAAAAAAGCAATACTTTGTAATTTAGTATATGATAATACCGTGTTTAAATTAAATTATCGAAAACTAATTCTATCGTATGTAAATATGTAATAATGTTCTTTTTAACTACGCATCGATTTCTAAGAAAAACGTTAAAATAGAAATCCAATAGTAAATTAAGAATTGAATTGTAAAACTTCAAGTATCTTTTCCTCCGAAAATGCACACGATGATATCCTTTTGAAAATAATTATAATCGAAAAAAATAAGTGAAGACTGAATTTTATATAGAAAGACTTAAAATTTACAGTTCACGATGGAACACAAATTGTTCTCTTCTTACACTCTAGCGATGAAGATATTGAACTATATATTTATATGTGTAAATCATTAGAAATTTTATTGATTCTTTATTAAATTTTCACAGTTGTTATGAAATAAGCTTGATATTTCGATGAAAAGTAAAAAAATATATTTTATCTTGAACTATAGATCTGAAATCTTTCTATCTAGGTTAAAATTTTATCTATTTTTTTGTATGTTTTCCGAAGATAATTAGTTTTAAAAAGGTTTCATCTTATACATTATGAGAGAACACGAGACTTCGACATCTCTCTTTCGAATGGTGAAAATCTCGAGTAACCAGCTAATGATGCTATCAAGATGTTCGTCGCACATCTCATGCCCAATAAAGATTATGATGAATATGTCTGCTAATTTCATGTACCAAACTTGAGTAGACAAGAAAGATGCCGATCAGCTGGGATTAGGTAAATATATTGCAGATTGCTTGGAAAGAATTAAAAATAACCATTATGTATTAAGTACACTATTTAGAACAATATCAAAGTATGAGGTTAAAATGAGAAAAAAATTGTTTTGTACTTTTGCTTTCCTTCGTCTAACTTTATTTTACGGATAAGCAAAAACAGAAACTAGAGAACAGAGATAAGATTAATGTCCGAGATAGGCAAGTCAAGTCGTTTTTTGACTTGACTTGACTTAAGCCAACTTAAATTTGACTTGACTGAACTTGACTTGACTTGAAATTAAGCCATAAACTCAAGTCAAGTCAAAAAACACATGTGAAGAGATTTCAGTGTACTTTTTTTATATTTTTACTAGTGTTATTACAGAATCAGCATGTAAAAGATAAATATAATTAAAAATGAGAGTTTTGCTAAATATTAATTCGAAATAACAGGACATTTGTATTCCGAAGTTCTATTCAATAAAAGGATTTTTTATAATCAGTTTCGACTTGAAACATGACTGGACTTGACTTGTGAAAACGTCTGACTTGCCCATCTCTGATTAATGTACAGTCTATGAGACTAAGAGGATTTTACTACACTATGTTTGTGTAGAGAACTATGATGAGGTGATTATGTCTACAAATATTATATTCGATTTCAAAATCATCTAGATATGTCACCTGAAGCAAATATATATAGATAAACATGAACAGCCTTTTTGATAGTCACTGATCCTTCCAAATCATATTATGAAAGTTCAGGAATGAGAAAAGTTAGCAAGTTTGCGCATAGATTACTTCTTAAACCACTTAATAGGTAAAAAAAATATATTTTAATATTTAATAAACTCTATTATATTTATTGATATCATGATATTCATTATATGCAATGAAGTTCAACAATTAATTCTAATGTGTTCTTCTTATGTCTTGCTTCTTACTCTTTATTGTTCTCATTCATCACATATTGTAAATAGGATGTAATACAAACCATGATTATACGATTGTTAACTCTCATCGGAACAAAAAACTAAATTTTTAAAAGAAAAAAAAAGAGAAACGTCCATTAAAGACTGAACAAAATAATATGAACTAGATGGTACATGAATCGAGGTTCGTCTGCAAAATGCGATGCGAAGTTCGATTTCGAAACAACCACTTTAAGGTTTTCAAAAAAATTCTCAGCATTCACGGCTATAGTAGAAATTTATATTATCAAAATCGAGAATTCAAACTATCATATATTGAAAGAGCATCAATGATTCATTAACTGTCATCAACTGTAAGAGATTTGTTAGAAAGAAGTGATGCCTAACTTTTGCTTTTCGTTGTAATTATCTCGAAATTTAAAAAAGTCAAAATCATGTTTTTGCGACGCTTCCTGTAAACGAACGGTATCGGTTCGATCTTGATATATTAATCTCGCGTTTAGACAAGTATTTTTTGATGTTCCATCGCTGAGATCAGCATGACACAAAATGACAACTTTGAATGAGTACTTCGGGAACGTAAGAAAGAAGGGAGGAAAAGTCGCGAAGGAATACATAAGTCCTTTGCTTCGCGTCGTATTAAAAAAGGAGAATGGTTACATCATCTATTATCATTATAATTTTTTATTGTTGCAAAAAAGATAATTTTTGTTTTTGTTATTTTTTCTCTTACTTTTCATACGACGCATGATGCGATGAGTATATTAAATATTTAATGTGATGCGAAGCAAAACATTTATGTATTCCTCCGCGGGTTTCCTTTCTTTTTTTCTTTCTTCTTTCTTACTTTCTCGACGTACTCATTCAAAGTTGTCAGTTTGTTACAATGATCTCAGCAATAGAACATCTGAAAATACTTTTTTAAACTCGAGATTAATATATCAAGATCGAACTGATATAGGACGTTTAATTCGTTTACAGGAAGTGTCGGAAAAACATGATATTGACTTTTTTTAAATTCAATTTTTTATCTAGTGACTGGGCAACGCCCATCCAAAAAAATGAGACTTATACAAAACACTGATAGGCGACACCCACCCGGAATTTTTACTTTTCCCACCCGAAATAAAAATCGTGGATAAAAAACTTTTAAATTTCGAGATAAATAAAACAAAGTTAGACGCCACTTCTTTCTAACAAATGTTTTATAGCTGATGACAGATAATGAATCATTAGTGTTCTTTCAACATATGATAATTTGAATGCTTGATTTCGATAATATAAGTTTTCACTATAATCGTGAATGCTGAGAATTTTGTGAAAACCTTAAAGTGGTTATTTCGAAATCGAGCTTCGGATCGCATCTCGCAGATGAGTCTTAACTCATGTACCACTTAGGATAAGCAGATACAGTCAGTTCAAATCTTAGCATTCTAATAAGAGTTTAAGTTTCGATAATTTCTCTGTTGTTATTTTACCAATCAAAACTTTTACAGGTCAATGATCTTTTTTTCTAAAATTACTATTTTCTCTTATACTTTTGTTTTCAAACTTAGGCGACATAATTATTAAGTCAAACGAACTGGAGAGAACAAGTAATTATAGTTTTTAAGTATAAATTAGAGAGAAAATTTGAATGAGTCGATCAAAGAATATATATTTATGATAAATTTTTTGAATAAAAAAGGACATTCAAATACCATTAATTTCCATAATTAGACATCTGTAATGTTATATACCGGTTAACATCTGTTATTTATATCTCATTATAAATGTAAATATTCTAAACTAAAAATATGATGTTTTTATTATAAAAAATATTTAACTGTTAAAGATCAATAGGCAATGCCACCAATGTCTCAGAATCGATATTGTAGTTACTTCTTGAATTATGAACCATCTATTTCGACATTAATTATTCTCATATGTAAACTGATTATTGTTACTGGATTAATTATACCAATTTTTTCTAGTCATTGGGCAAGAAGTCCTATTTATATTAATCATTATGCCGGTAAATATTAAAAAAAATTTTTGTCATCTATTTTATTAAAATTCTATGTAGGATATAAAAATCGATGTTCTGTACATGTATGTACATCAGATGATCTAGATCCAACATGGTTAGTTGATTTAGCCTGTGTGTTAGGCATGATTAATCTGTTTATGGAAATTATTTATAATATAATTAATAGTTTTACTGCTATGAATACAGACACAACAACAATTTTTCGTAAGAATAAAAAAATTTATTTACAATAATTATATTTGTTTTATTTTATTAGAAGAGATAATGTTTTTTTTAACATTTATCGTGACAGATTGTGAAATTACATTTGGTATTCATATATTATTATATGCATATGCATTACCAATGGGTTATGCTTACCAATTTTTTATATTCTCTATAATTTTTAGTCTTATTGATTGGGGATTTTCATTAAAACGATTTGTAAGTATTTTAATAAATATATTTTATTTAATTCCTTTTCTTTTAAACTTAATTAGATAAATGTATGGCCTGAAGAAATCTACTTACCAGAAAATGAAATTGCATATCATAATAATTCAACTACAGTTATTCTTGCTATCGACTGACTTGTACTGATATCAAGACTTGAAAACGTTATACATCCGATCAATTTAAGTGATCCAGCAGTAAACAATTTTTTTTTATCAATTAATATATATTGTTGTTGTTCTAAAGCGTTGTTTTTATAAAATATATTAGTATTACAAACCATGATATATGTATTCATTTTTTTATATAAGTTATTTTTCAATTGATTATATTTGTTCAAACAGATAAAATGTAACGACAAAATATTGATTATTAAATTATATTTCTACCTTTTTTGCTCAAATTCAATAAAGAATATCTATAAACAAAGTACTTGACAATTACACAAATTGTTTTAATTGAATAATATATTTGTAAAATATTGAGTGACAATACGATTTATATTTATAACTAATTCATAGTTTCTATTAGTCAACATATCATTTCCATCATATAATAAGAATAATAATTGAGATATTACAATTTTGTAAAGCATCTAAAAATTGAATATCTCACGAAAAGGTGCGTACGATCCAAGTCACACACTATTGAAAACGTTTAGTAGAATCAACGTCAACGTGCATCTCTATTTGATTGCTTTTGATGCAATTGAATAACAATCGAAACATAAATGAAATTCTATAGTTTTGCAAGTTGTAC